GGCGAGCGAGATCTGGTAGAGGGGAGAGAGGGGAACGAAAATATATGTATATATACAATTTTCTCTCGCTTTATACAAACACAAACACACTTTATACACTTGCGTTTGTATAAAAAACGAGAGAGGCGAGGGAGAGAACGAGAGTGGCGAGCGAGATTCACCAGGAGAGAGGTGAAATAGCAACAGTTTGCTATGAGGTACAATTAAATCAAACTATATTTATAGTATTTAATTTGAATTAATAGTTTGCTATTATATACAATTTTCCCATTAATGAAGGAGGTTCAAATTTCAATTGAATTCCTTTTGTTGGAAAATTATATAGTGCAAATTAAATACGGCAAAATCGATTATTTATTATTTTTTTCATTAACTTTTGAATTCCCTTAGCTTGTTTAAAGACTAAAGACAAAGGTAGTTCTAAAATTGCTCTATATGGCGAGTTCAAATTTTATTTAGTCCCTTTATCAAGATTTATGCACTACTACAAATAAAAGATTTTTCCACTCTGAATTAGTGGAAAATTTATTGCTACATAAAATGATTTTTTCACTCATTTTTCATTAAATCAGATTACTAAAAAAATGCAAGGTGGAAAACAAATTCTCAATGAAGTAGTGGAAAACTTTCTAATTTTTCCATATGAAACATTACTATTTTTTTCCTTTCAAACCGATTCAATCAAAATATCTGTGAAATAACTACACTAAACATTCAGTGATGGTTACACCATTCAATACCAACTAATAATTATTGTTAGTTTCAGAACATCCATCCAAACATATACTTCGTCCATCCATTTTTAGTTGTCATGTTGCGCTTTTCGAAAGTTAATTTGACTAATTTTCAAAGTTAAATTAGATTACATTAATTTGATATTTAAATAAAAAAATTAAATATTCAAAAATTATACAAAAAGTACTATAAATTGCAAAAAAAATCATATTAATATGATAAAAAAATACATCATAAAATGTTAGTCAAAGTTCTTATCGTTTGACTCTAAAAAGGAAAACCATAACAACTAAAAGTAGACAAATGGAGTTTTTACTTATTTCCTTTATAAAATTAGATTCAATACTTAAAATTTATCAATTATTTTCGATCAGCTAATCCAAACGGGCCGGGTTCTATTACAATGCAGGAAGTTGTTGGGCATTCTCAGCAGTAGCAGCAATAGAGGGCATCAACAAGATCAAAACAGGAAAACTTGTGTCACTATCAGAACAACAACTAATGGATTGTGATGTTTACTCAGACAATCAAGGATGTAAAGGAGGATTTATGGAAAGTGCATTTGATTACATCATGGAAAATGGTGGAATTACAACTTCAAAAAATTATCCATACATAGGAAAAGAACAAAAATGTAACACAAAAAAAGCAAAACAACATGAAGTTACAATAAGTAACTATGAAAAAGTACCACCAAATGAGGAATCACTTCAAGTTGCAATTAACAAACAACCAATTTCAGTGGCTATTGATGCAAGTGGCTATAGTTTTCAATTATACTCTGGAGGGATCTTTTCTGGCTATTGTGGAAATAGTTTAAATCATGCAGTGACATTAATTGGCTATGATGTGGAAGAAAATAATGGTGAGAAATATTGGATAGTTAAAAATTCATGGGGTACTATGTGGGGTGAAAGTGGTTATATGAAAATTAAAAGGGGGTCAAGTGACAATGGAGGAATGTGTGGTATTGCTATGCAAGCTAGTTACCCTCTTATGGAGGAGGAAAATTGAAATATATCTATATGTATGTACAAATAAGTCATAATAAAAGATTTGAATAATTGTGATTAATTAGAATGGTGTAAAATCTTCAAAATTTCTAATTAAGAATCAGAATTGCTTATGCATATACTATGACCAACAACTAATCCAGCTCTTCTTTGTATTAACGGTCGATTTCGAAGGAACTGATATTTCAAAAGAAAGTATTCAAACTTTCTTTGATTAAGAAAAAAAATATTAAACTTACACAAATGTGAGGTCACAAGGCAAAATAGGTTGATTAATCCCCTTTTCCATGCAATAGTTGGGCACAAATAGACGAGAGGTATTATAAAACTAGTCAATATTTATAAATATAAATTACTCGTTGGAGATTGAAAACTTTGATACCCTAGTCGTTAATATTTTATAATGGGGGGTTAACATATGAAAACATAAACACACGAAAAAGTTGAAAGGGATTCAATATCTATTATATATACATAAAAATTAATTTTTGCCATATATAAACAATGTAATTTTCCGCTAAGGAGTTCGAATCCTCTAGTAATGCAATAGGCGCACATGTGAGTATTACATGTGCCTCGATTCATACTAATTCCTCCTTTTATGTTCTTGAACTAGGTTCTCTCCCTTCAATTATGTGGTTTCCACCCATTACGAGGGAGTTGTCGAATGATAAACACTCTTAACTTTCAATCTTAAGATTATGAATTCGAGTCACCAAGGGATCAAAAATGTAAGAGCTCCTAAGGAAGGGGAATAAAAAAAGAAGAAGTTGTGTTTATCCCTAAATTACAATTGAAAAAACTTATTGAATCTTGCGATACACCTAATTTTATTATTCGTTACATATATTTATAATAACAAAAGCTGAGAATCTATCATTTTTTCTTTACCTTAGCTAGGAATGTTCACGGCTTGGATAAAAATCGATCCAAACCGAAAAGTTAATCAAACCGATTAAATAAATAAATTTTATTTGGATTTGGTTTTTGTTCAAAAAAATCGAAAAACTAACCGAACTGAACCAATACATATATTTTATTATTATACATACATAATATATTATTTTTATAAGTAATTTTAAATATCTTATATATATTTTTACCAAAATATCTAATAATAATTTATAATTCAAGAATATTTAAGACCATTTTTCGTTTTTATTTTGATAGAGAAAGGATATTTTCTAAGACCAAAAAAATAAAATTAAAAAAATCTTATTTTATAATATGGACTTTTTCCTTAAACCCTAAACCTCAATAAACAAGAGGAGTAAGATTTTGCAGAGAAGCAGAGCAGCCATTTCTCTCTTTCGAGTTCGAAATGGTCGGTCCATTGATTCGATCTCTCTGGTCTACAACTAGGAGATCCTTCTCCTCCTCTCATTATTCTCATATCAAACCTTTATCCTATGCTCGAGCTTTCTCCACCGCCACAGCTACCGCTCCCGTTGGCTCCGCCGCCACTGCACCCGGCGGCGCTCTGGATCCCGACCGGCTAAGGAATGTCGCGGTTATAGCTCACGTCGATCATGGAAAGACTACTCTCATGGATAGGCTGCTTCGTCAGTGCGGCGCTGATATACCTCACGAGCGTGCCTTAGATTCTATCGACCTCGAACGAGAGCGCGGCATCACTATTGCTTCTAAGGTATTTAATTCCCTTACCTTTATCAATTTGCATTTGCCACTGGTTATGCGGATATTGTTGAAGCTTTTCTATGGCGAAGTTCATTTGTAGCTGCCTTTGTCATAAGTTTCTGATTAACAGAGACGGATCCAGAGTATTAAGTAGTGGATGCATAACTATATACAGATGTGTGTATATAATATATATACATATATTGACTTTGTTAATATGTATATTTAGTAAGAGGTGTAGTTACTGCATTTAAATCTTTGATGGACCAAAGAGTAAGAAATTGTAATAATATGATCATCCACCCTTGAATAATTCACTCTTTGTGTTTGTTAGGGCTAATTATAGTTGCTGTAAGCCTCATTAGGATTCTCATGCTAAAAGCAATGTGCTATGTAGTCATTTTTCATGGGTTAAAACAAATTGTGTTATCTAATATTAAAATAGAAAATGTTATTTGTTGGTTTCATATATATATATATATATATATATGAAAGGAATTCTATCTTGTTTGATGTATTTGTTGCAATGTTTCCAGAGAAAGTTCATTCTTTTTTTTGGGAGGGGGGGGGGGGTGACAGTGCATAGGTACAAGGCTCTATTTCATTAGCTTTGATAGTTTGGAAACGAGGTTCTTTTTTGTAACATACATGTTATAATTGGAGCTGGATTCAACTGTATATATTAAGTCGGCTTCACTTGGTCCATAGCTTTTATACCAATTGAATTATAGGTGGATAGAGTTTTCGGAATAAAAAATGCATAAGCATGTAGTAAAGTCTACAGAAAAAGGTCCACACTTTCTGTTACTATGAAGCTCCCTGTTTCCTGATCCTTAAGTGTTTACTATCTTGCCTTCATTGATAGCAAATTCTCATGTTTTATTCAAGTCAGCCAATTGTCTCCTGCACCTTATTATCTTAAGATAAAAACCCTAGTTGCTAGACTTCAGATGTAATTGTTACAATCATTAGACCATGAACTGCTTTGTGATTCTGAAGATGCGTGACTTGTGAGTTTGACTCACTACAGTACTCACTATTGCGCCAGATTCTTTGGCTTTCTACTCGTGGTATTCAGAATTGCTCTGTGATCTTGAAGTTGCATGTTGATGTTTAATTACATGTGATGATGTAGGATACCACAATTGTAAGGGTTGTTACTATGTGTCGTCCGAACAACTGCATCCATTGGCAATGATGAAAAAAAGGCCGGACTTACTGCTGCTACCATGTGGTTGGTAGTAGAGTGATGAAAGTTACAGCTAGGTATATTTGCTGAGCCAGATATGGATGATGTTGATCTTAGAAAGTTTTAGCCAATGAGTTGGTTTTCTTCTCCAAATCTTTTGCCTGGTACTTGATCTGTGTATAATTTGATTTTTTTCCTTCTAAGACTAAGAGGTTTTGCGAGGACCACCAGTATGATTCTTTAGCATACCTTGAACTGCTCTTTGATTTTGAAGATGTGATGTGAGTTTGACTCACTACTCACTGTTAGTGGTATTCAGGATTGCTCTATGATTTCGAAGATGCTTGTTGGTTTTCAAATACATGTGATGATGTAGAATATCAGAATTTTAAGGGTTGATGCTATGTGTAGTACAAATTACTGCTTCCATTGGCAATGATGAAAAAAAGGCCGGACTTACAGCTGCTACTATGTTGTTTGTAGTAGAGTGATGAAAGTTACAGCTAGGTATATTTGCTGAGCCAGATATGGATGATGTTGATCTTAGAAAGTTTTAGCCAATGAGCTGGTTTTCTTCTCCCAATCTTTTGCCTGGTACTTAATCTGTGTATTAGTTTGATTTCTTTCCTTCTAAGACTAAGAGGTTTCGTGAGGACCACCAGTATGATTCTTAAGATTACCATGAACTGCTCTTTGATTTTGAAGATGCTATGTGAGTTTGACGCACTACTCACTGTTAGTGGTATTCAGGATTGCTCTGTGATGCATGTTGGTTTCTAAATACATGTGATGATATAGGATATCAGTAATGTAAGGGTTGTCACTTTGAGTCGTATGAATCACTGCTTCCACTGGCAATGATGAAAAAAAGGCCGGACTTACAGCTGCTACCATGTTGTTGGTAGTAGAGTGATGAAAGTTACAGCTACGTATATTTGCTGAGCCAGACATGGATGATGCTGATCTTTAGCTGATGAGTTGCTTTTCTTCTCTGATTTTTTTGCCTGTACTTAATCTGTATATGGATTTGCATTTTTCTTCTAATAGTAAGAGGTTTTGTGATTGCCACTAGTGACTAGTATGATTCTTTAGCTTAGCATTCTGGTATTAGGAATCTCTCTGTGATTATGAAGATCTATGTTGGTTTTAAAATATACGTATATGGTAATGGTGCTTTAAGATTCTTTAGCTTAACGTTCTGGTATTAGGAACCTCTCTGTGATTCTGAAGATGTATGTTGGTTTTAAAATACTTATGGTAATGGTGATTTTAAAAACCTAGAGCTTGTCACTATGTGAAAGCAAGCTACAGCTTCCACTGGCAATATGAAAGAAAGGACGGACTTAAGGCTGTTACCGTGTGGTTGGTAGTAGAGTGTTGAAAGTTACAACAAGGTATATTTACTGAGCCAGATATGGATGATACTGATTTTTGATAGTTTTAGTTGATAGTTGGGTTTTTTCACCCTTATTTTCAGCCTTAGTCGATAGTTGGTTTCCTTCACCCTTATCTTCAGCGTTTGTGGTTGTTGATTGTTCTTAAACTGAGAGGTTTTATGAATGCCTAAAACTTTAACACATCAGAAAAAAAGTATTTTCACATTTACTGACATCAAAATTTGAGGTAATGTGAAATGATACTCTTAAGATTTTTTGGTTGTGTTATATTTTGACAATTTTATAGCAAATTTTTACTCCTCTTTGTCATATGGTTACACCATCTTGGACTTACAAGTCGTAGAACACTTCAAATGCATGATGATGTTATTTGAAGAGGGTAAAATCAGATAGAGAGAAAATGTAGTTTCCCTAAATCGAAAACTGTAAATGCTTTTTGTGGTAAACTATGTGGGTGTTCGGATTGATTTATTTTGAGTAGCTTTTGGCTTTTAAGCTCTTTTTTTAGTTTTGGAAGTGTTTGGGAAACACAAGAACTGCTTTTAAGCACTGTTTTAGGCTCAAAAAGTACAAAAAAAGAGCCAAAAACCAAAAGCTGGGTGTTCTCAACTTGTGGCTTTTAGCTTATAAGCCACTTAAAAAAAGCAATTCCAAACACCCCCTACAAAGGTAATATCATCATATAAAAAGAAACAAAGGCCAACTCTTCGGGGTGGCCCAGTGGTTTGGGCTTGGGACTTCCATGTTGGAGGTCTCAAGTTCGAAACCCCTTGCCAGCGAAAGCAAGGGGTTTGCCTTCTGGGTCGAGCTCGTCGTGCCGGGCTTGCCTAGTGCGGGTTACCTCTCCTAAGTGGTTTGTGAACTATTGCATAGGAGCGGGGGTTTTACCCTGTGCGCACCCAAAGGGTAGCGGCTGCGGGTTTCCCTTGTCATCAAAAAAAGAAAAGAAACAAAGGCCAGTCAGAATCATAGTGAACATAGAGCTAGAAGCTGAAATTAAGCGTCCGATTCTTTCACTTTTGTTCTTTCCCCTATGCTCTGAGAAGTTTCTTCAGAGATTTATTTGTGTTTTTTTTCCTTGGGGAGGGATTGTCCAAGTTCTTTATGGATGAGACGTATTTTTGAATGACGATCTCATACTTGAAAGCATATAGGCATAAATTAACATGTCAAATAGAACTACTAGATTTTGGGATAATTTGTGATGCCTTGGTTGATAATTTCTGTTAATCTATTTTTTTTAATAAAAAGATGTATTTTATTTTTATCCACTTTGTCTATGCTAAAATAAATGGCTTAGTACAAGGTTAGTTGATTATATTTCAGCTTAAGTCAGATCGTAATTGATTGTTCTTATCAACAGATAGTATATGGGTTTTAAAACAATAAAAAGAAATAGTCGTGGTTTAACATCATGGTGAAGAAGAGGTTATTTTGACTTTTTGAATAATTTGAGGTCATAAATTTGGGATGAGTGAAGTTTAAACTAACAGGCCGAATTGTAGATGTCATTTCACTTTTTGAAGAGGAGGATATTGTTTTTTTTTTTTGGGCCTTGGTCTTTTTGTTTAAATTTATTTTTGTGAATACAAAATGGGTCACAATTTAAGTTCAAACATGGTTGCTTAGGTAGCACTGCTGATATCTATTCAAGTAAACCTCCATTAATTAAGTTATTTGGACCAAACCTGAGTGAGCTCTGATATGCTTTTAACACTTTTAAGGTTACATCCATCTCGTGGAAGGACAAAGAGCTAAACATGGTGGACACTCCTGGACACGCAGATTTTGGTGGTGAAGTAAGTATTTATTTTATGAAGATTTTTGGTGGTAAAGTGTTTTTATAATCTTTTTCATTTTGTGTTTCTTTCCTTAGTGTACAATCAATCAATCACTGATATATAAATCACACAGAAGTTACCACAAGAATTGGTAATTAGACTATTACCTTGGGTTTTAAGTGTTTGAAAGTGATGACCATAAGACCATTGTAATTGATTTCTCTAAAAGCAAGAAGTTATTTCCAGGTGTCAGATTGTCTCTAAAATCAATAAATGGATCCTTTGGTATTGTGTTAATAAGAATCATAATTATTTCAAGATTTTGGGAAGTCATTCAGGCTTAGTGAAGAGGAAAAGATGATTGATCGAGCTACTATTAGCTCTAGGGGAAGCTGTTTGTTGTGAATGCGAGGAAGTCAATTAATTTAAGTATTTAATTATATTTTTTAAGTAGATTTATTTATTATTTATTTATAATTTAAGTAACTTTATTTATTATTCTAGAATGGGGTTTATGTTTCATAGTTTGATAAGGATTAAGTTAAGCTATAGTTATTAGTTTGGAATAGGATTTAGGTCTCCTACTTTCATAAGAATTAGACTTCCTATTGATGTAATAAGACTCCTATTTAAAGGGGGTTTTGATGAATAAATCAGTAAGTCATATTTCAGCAAAAAACAAGAGAGATTAGAGTTGTCTCTTCCATTGAACTCTAAGGTTTCAGTCTCCCTTTGAAGAGTAGTGTCAAAAAGTCTCCCTTTGAAGAGTTGAAGAGATCGGAGTTCTCTCTTTCAATGAAAAGGTTTCAGCCTCCCTTTAACGAGCTGAATTTATATATCGTCCTATGAATCGATCCTTCCCTAAAGATTCATAACACTGCTATTCCAGTCTTCTCCTTAGTTACATCCTTGAAAGTAAGACTGCTGTAAAAGAGATTCTCTGTGGTAAAGGTTCTCATGAGGATCCGTCTGGACAATACTTGAGAAAGGTTTTTTTGCAAAAAATATTGAATAAGAACTTTGTGTAAGTTGATAGTTGTATTTTTTCTTTGTTTGAAGATTTATGAGTCTTATGTGTGTGGAAGAAGAGCTTTTCAATGAGAAGCACCTTCCCAGCACTTCATTAAATTTTTTTGAAAAAATCTCCTAAACAAAATTTTCTTAGACAATCCGCTACTGTTTCTATTGTTAGCCCTTTTGCATTAATCTGATGTTTCCTTTGGATGGGAGTGAATTCAATTTTACCCGGGTGAATTGCAATAGCTTTTGTTTATTGTTTATATGTTATCTTCATCATAAAAAAAAGGAGAAGTGGAGCTTGTTGTCAAGTGCCATCAATCTGACTTTGTCATGCAGTATTTTATTGATTTTTTATTCCAAGTGTTTCCTTGTGTTGTTAGGTTGACATGAAGAAAATTGTAAGCTTTTCACTTTTCATTTGCTTACAGGTTGAGAGGGTTGTTGGCATGGTTGAGGGAGCAGTCCTTGTTGTTGATGCTGGTGAAGGTCCACTTGCACAAACAAAATTTGTTCTTGCCAAGGCCCTTAAATATGGTTTACGCCCCATTCTTCTTCTCAATAAAGTAGACAAACCTGCAGGTATTACATTTCTGAGGTTATTCTAATCACAAGTTCTTTTAATGGTTTCATATTAACTGTTCAATTATACATATGCAGTGACTGAAGAGAGATGTAATGAAGTTGAGAGCCTTGTATTTGATCTTTTCGCAAACCTTGGTGCTTCAGGTTCTAGAAAATTACTTTCATAAAAATTTCTTAGTTCCTTTCTTCTAGTCAGTTGCTTGGATCTCTCCCTCCCTCCATACATAACTCCATATATTTAATAGTTTCTATGCATTTTAAATTTAACTCAACCTTTCTGATCGAACTTGTTTTATTCTATTCCAGAGGAACAGTTAGATTTTCCTGTTCTTTACGCTTCAGCTAAAGAAGGATGGGCATCTTCCACATATACAAAAAGTCCTCCTGATGTGAAGGATATGTCACAATTGCTCAATGCTATTGTTGGGCATGTTCCTCCACCGAGTGCTAGCCTAGATGCCCCTTTTCAGATGTTGGTTAGTATTGCATTTGCATTTCTTAGTTTATATATCATAATGAGATAAATGATTTAGGTGAATAGCCATTTATGCAACTTCGCAAAATTTAAAGCGTAGCAAGTGCAAAAGCTGGTAATAATTCTCATATATTTAAGCTTGCGTACATGTAGCTATTGTACATTTTGCTGCACTTTGTTGAGATACCTCCTTTTTTCCAAGTACCACTTCCATGGCCCATGGGTAAGAAATTCGTCCCTGCTTTGTTTTCCCTAAGAAATATTGTACTTAAATTCCTTTATAATTGGCTAGAGGTATTACAAATGGAGAAGTTGCAGATGAATGCTTGTTATGCGAGTCTTATTTTTGTTGGACAAGGGAAGTAAATGATGTGTGTTAATATTCATTTGGTGATTAAGGGAAAAATATGGAATATAGAAGTGAATACACGATTTAGTGGCTGTTATCTTTTATAATTGAAAAAGAATCTAATGTCTCATTGATTGAGAGAAAGAAATCGTTGGAGGCAGGTTAAGAAGTGGTGGTGCTGTGCAGAGACCAGAACTAATCTAGATAAATTTATAATGGATATAATGCTGTAAGATGAGTTGATAAACATACCTTTATGAGTGGAGACGGTTTGCTTAAACAATCAATCAAAGAAGCCTAGCTAAGGAAAAAGTCAGGCAGGCTGTATAAATTTGACGCCCAGTCTGGTAGTGATATTGTCCGCTTTGGGCCTAGGCCCGCACGACTTTAAAACACATCACTAGTTGGTAAGGCCTGTTTACTCATATACCCAACATGTATTTTACCGATGTGGGATTTCTTATCTTAAGCTGGGGCATCACATACACCCCTCTATGGACTCAACCTCCTTGTTGAGATTTGCTTCATCGAATGGAATTTGCTTAGACTCAGCACTGAGGTTTTCCCCGCTTTATTGGGATTTGCGTAAAATCAGTTGAACTTTGGCCCTCATTGACAAGGCTGACACATGAGTGACTCTGATACCATTTGGACCACTAGTTAGTTCCATAGCATCGGGGCCTCTCGAGAGGTCCATCAGACTCTACATATTATTGGGGAATTTATCTAACATTCAACCACTTTAATGCCCCACTTGGTTACAAGCCAATGTTACTTGGCTCAACAACATAATGTTACGTCATTCATATTCTTATATCAGAATTCTCGATTGAGTCGTGCTTATGATCTTTCGCCCTAAAGCTCTTTCAGGGATCTTTTTTAGTTTTGAGAGTGATGTTGATAGTAGTTGTGTGATGATAGATAAGAGAGGGTTGATGTTTCTTATTGTGGTAGTGATGGTGTGCTTATTCCATCTAAGGTTATAAATGTGGAGGAAGAAGGGAATGAGGTTTTACGATGAGTAATAGTTAGATGAGAGTAATTAGGCGGTTTCTTGGTTGTAACACGTGAAGTTTTAGTTGGTAGAGGTGATGAGAGAACGAGGAATTCTTAGAAGGATTGGCTAGTAGGAGTCCATGGAGTGGTTATAGTTCTAGGCTTGAATGTGGTTATAGTTCTAGGCTTAAATGTGGTGTTGATAACATGTGGATGAATGCATGATGCATTAGGTGCTTCTTGATTAGGACTCGAAGTTTTGTTGAATACGGTGATAAGGAGTAGTATTCTTTGGATGAGATTTCCCATAGGATGGTAAGAGTAATTCCTTTCCCTCCCATGCTCAGTTTCCAAGGGGGAGATATTGTAACACCTCGAAAATTTCTAAGCTAAGGCCTGAACCATTCATCATTTGTGTATAAGGTCGTATCGAGTGATTCTTAAATTATTTTTAGGGGTTAAGGTCAATTATTTAGCGTGTGAATGGATTTGGATATGAATTAAGGTCACTGTAATCCTTTAGCACAAAGTTGAGTTGAAGGCTTCCTTATCGATTGAGTTTTGATATAAGATTTTACTTAAGTCAACTTCAAATAATCATATCTTTTAGAATATGAAGAGTTAGGTGACCCATATCTATCAAATTAAAGGTATTTGAGTCTTCTTTTCAACACCACCAAGTTTGCATCATTCAGAGTTTAGAGTAGAGAGTTATATTCATTTACTAATCTGATGCATGCAGTGGCGTAGAGAGTTATAATCATTTTACTAATTTGATGCATGTAGTGCCGTTTTGGCCGACGGGAAAACACTAAAAAGGGTCTTTTTTGTCTTTGTACCCCTAAGAAAATCCTAAACAGATTTCTTGACTAATAAAAGGCCCAAAACAATCTGATTTTCATCTCGTAATCCCCCAATTTCTTCTCTCTCAAACCCCAAGGCAAAACCCTAAGGAAAATCAAAGCATAAGACTTCCAAACAAGATTCTTTCAAATCTTTTTCAAGGCAAGTCCTCTTCAAGAATTTCATTATTTCCAAGTTCCAACTCAAATTCCTTTATACGATTATGAATCATTAATGGAAATCTTAATTGTTGGCCATAGAGTTTTCAAGAAATTAATGCAAGTATCTCAACAAAAAATTTCTTGATCGTTCTCCTTAAGGTAGGATTTCAAGTCTTCCAATCAAGTTCTTTTTCAAACTTCTTCAAGAACTTCGTTTAATTGTTGGCTATAGGGTTTTCAAGACTATTCATAGTGTTGGACTTGTTCGTCCTCATGCCTTGCATCTAAATTCAGTCAACAAAAGTTATGTTCAGTCAACAATATGGTTCATGTGACTTTTAGGGTAAAACCCTAAACATAACTTTTGCTTTCTGAATTTAGATGTAGGGAGTAAGGGCGAACTAGTCTAACACTATGAATAGCCTTTACATACCCGGAAGAACGAAGTTCTTGAAGAAGAACTTGATTGGAAGACTTGAAATCCTAGCTTGAAGGAGAATGATCAAGAAAACCTTTCTTGAGATTCTTGAATTAGTTTCTTGAAAATCCTATGGCCAAGAATTAATGATTCATAATTGTATAAAGGAATTTGACTTGGAAATAATGAAATTCTTGGAGAAGGACTTATCTTGAAGAATAATCTTGAAAAAGATTTGAAAGAATCTTGCTTGGAAGTCTTATGCTTTGATTTTCTTTAGGGTTTGAGAGAGAAGAGAATGTGGGATTAAGAGATGAAAATCGGATTGTTTTGGGCCTTTTATTAGTCAATAAATTAGTTTAGGGTTTTCTTAGGGACAAAAACGGCCCTTATTAGTGTTTTCCCGTCGGTCAAAACGTCATTGCATGCATCAAATCAGTAAAAAATGGTCATAACTCTCTATTTCAAATGATGCAAACTTGATGGTGTTGGAAAGAAGACTCAAATACCTTTAATTTGATAGGTTATGGGGCACCTAACTCTTCATATTCTAAAAGATATGATCATTTGAAGTTGACCAAAGTAGAATCTTATATCAAAACTCAATCGATAAGGAAGCTTTCAACTCAACTTTATGCTAGGGGATTCTAGTGACTTTAATTCATATCCAAATCCATTCCTGCACTAAATAATTGACACCTAAGAACAATTTAAGAATCACTCGATAGACCTTATACACAAATGAAGAATGGTTCAGGCCTTAACTTAGAAATTTTCAGGGTGTTACAATAAAGTCGGGAAAGAAAGAATTTAGTCAATTTACCAATAGGTGTGAAGTCAATTCAAACGGACGAAGAGGGGGAGTGGGGGTGGTAAGGTGCTCAAGATTTAGGATTTGTACAAAAGAGCTGAAAGATTCCTCTGACCACTTATCTGATCCATACGGTTCCTTTCGAAGAATCTAATCAAAAGATTCCTCTGACCACTTGTTATCAAATACAACAGAGGAGGTGATTTTAGACCTTGCCTAGTGGCTAGGTTATCTTCCGTCCTCTTTGAAAGGTAATCTGCAACTTAAGAAATAAGCTCCTCCATCTTTGTTTGACTCATTGGATCAACTTTTTATGTCTGGGGCCCTAATTAGATGTACTGCACCATTGAAGGACCGCTTTGATTTGTTGTTCATATTGGATAACTTTCTTTATTTTTTTGGGGTTCACATTCGTTTGATGATTTTCTATTCTTGATCCTTTCAGAATCTTCATACTTCTGTGTTTTATTTGCCTTGAGAAGATGCTATGCTTAATAGTTGCTTTCAGGTTTCCATGATGGAGAAAGATCCTTATCTTGGTCGTGTTTTGACGGGTCGTGTAACTTGTGGAGTTGTTCGTGTTGGTGATAAAGTACAAGGGCTGAAGAACACAGACAATGGAACTGTAAAAATTGAAGAAGGAAAGGTCTGTTGTCTCCAGAACTAAGGGAAAATCTTCTCTGTACCATTTTTGTAACTCAAGTATGCTTTAAGATGCTAGAGGGATATTTGAAAATCTAGTAAATCGTTGTGTGTATAGTGTCATCAAATCAATTTTCCAATTTTGGCAAAATTTGAGGTAATCAAACTAAATTGAACTCCACAACATGGGTAACTTTATGGTGTCAAATAGTCAAAACCATGCATCAGAGAATTAGGTGTAACAGAATTTTTATCATGTGATATGTTTCTGTGGTACTTTGATTAACATAGGAGATTAATAACTTAAATAATCTATTTTATGAGGTGTTGATTGTAACTTCCATGGCTGTGTCACAGGCAACTTTATTATGTGTCAGTAAGTCATTTTTTTAGAGGAAAACTATGGTTATTGATAGCTCATGTAGATTCGGATGAAGGTATTTTAGCACTCAAAACGACTTATTTCAAGCTTGAATGTTTAGGACTATATTCAGGATCTATTATTTAGTTATTTATTTACTTATTATTGGAATTCTAAGCCCTGAGCTAGTGCCATGCTTTGAAATTGTCACCTAATTTTCATTTCTGTTCCTTTCTTGTTTACTGGTCAAAACTTTTATAGGTTGTAAAGCTGATGAAAAAGAAGGGTATGAGAGCAGATCCAGTTGATAGTGCTGGTGCAGGTGACATAGTGTCCATGGCAGGTTTGTCAAGTCCGACAATTGGACACACAGTTGCGAATGCAGAGGTATGCGACTTCTTCTTCATTTAACGATCCAACTCAATTCTATTTGTTTCTAAGTCGTGTTATTTGTTCTATTGCTCTTTTTGATCTGGGAATCTCGTCACTGTGTGGGTGGAAATTCTGCTGGCATTATTTCATATAAGATAAGTTTCACATCAAAGAAGGGAAAATGCTGTGCACAATAGGAAAAGGCACGTCAGTAGCATACACAATAGTTCCTAACATGAAATCCTATGACCTCTGAAGAAATTGTAGTCACAACTTCTCCTAGATAAACATTGAGAGCATTGTGTTTTGAATGTGGAAACCAACCTTTTCATGCCTTCAGACCAACTTATACTGTCTAAAGTGATACTATTGAGGCCGTTCTAATTTTTTTGCTGTAGGTAAATTAATTACAATAGGAAGTCGTTTAAGTGCAATATGATGGTTTAAGTAATAATTATTAAATGGGCTAGGTGTCATCTTTTATTCCTTAAGTTGTTCATGTTTAAAACTAAAATCAATGTACATATATATCCTTGATTGTGGAAGTTTAATTAGCTACTACCGACTGTTTAATTTAATGTACATTTTGGTCAATTGATTCAGAGTTAAGACCAAGGAATAGTTGATATCTAAGTCGGTATTGTTACCACTGTTTTACTTCCTTTTCCTAAATTTGACTAGTCTTTATTAACTTCATTAGATGATACATTTTAGTACTTGTTTAATAATATTTTCCTGTTTGTGTTTCCTATTTTATGTCCACGTGGTATGTGGTTCTTGATCTTGTAACATGTCACTGACACTGAATTCTTTGTGAGCTAAATTTCTTAACCTTTTCTGCAACTTATCTGAAATTTGATAGGTTACGACAGCATTGCCCACAGTTGTGCTTGACCCCCCTACCATCTCCATGACTTTCGGTGTCAATGATTCTCCCTTAGCTGGTTCTGATGGTATTCATGTAAGTATATAATTTTCCCCACTCATTTCCTATTTGTGAGATCTTTGTGTCTAGTTGCTTCTGCTGTCCAGCTGCATATTCTGTGGAGGGTCATAGTTGATGGTCTTTTCCCCCTGTAATTCTGTGAGAATGTCTCTGAAAGAGACACACAACTCATGCATTATTTTTGTGTCAAAGCATCTAATGTTCTTTGTAAATTTTGATCTTAATTAGAATATTTTTTCCCTTTTTTTTATTTGATCATTTCTTTTGATTGAGGTTGATAATATATAGTTTTGACTTCTGAGCAAGGACATGGAGGTGAGGTCTCTATCTTAAAGAAAGAGATCAAATGGTAGTTTGAGACAAACTTAAGATAGAGTTGTTGGCAGATGTATCAGTCCAAAGGGAGATTAACTGAAGCTAGGATGTTGATTTTTTGGGGATACTATGATAATTGACAACCTCTGTAGTCTGTAATTTGGCAGTACAAAAGTAGTGCTGGAAAATGGATAAAAGATGCAGGTATCCCTCCAACCTGCCCTGTTAAATACGGGTTGGATAATTGATTTGTTTAAACTGGATCATATCCATGTAACCAACCATAAAATATGGATATCGATAGTGCAACTCACTTTGAATGTGAAGAATCTAGCTGTGTGAAAGGTGGAAAACTTTTACTTCGTCGTCAGTCCTCCTGTGAACTGTTCTTTAACTTAAACATTATAGCTGACCACCTTCATCAACAAAACATGAGCATCACTTGTGTCATATTAGAAAAATTGATACAGTGAGTCACTGAGTTTTTACTTTATATTTCATAAGCCAAGGCTAATTCTCAGCCGCAAAATTGGGCGGCTGGTTCCAGTTCCAAAATGCGATACTTCAAGATAGGAGGAGAAAAAGGGGTGGTGGTGGTGGGGGTGGAGATATCTATCATATGTATATCGGTTCTTTGTTTTTGAAGTTTTGCTGCCTTTTCAGGTCTTCTACAGTCTACACCAAGCAATGGTTAATATAGATATTCATATAAATCCGATTTTTATCTGTCGTAGCTATGGATGGTTGCATAATTTATCCATTTTGTCTAAACTGTTTTCAACCTGCCCATATCTGATCCGACCCACCCATTTGCCAGCACTAGTACATTGATTTCTCTTATAACTTACCGTAATTGTATGCTTCACTATAACAAAGACTTCCTATTATTTCTTCCTTACTTCCTGTAGCAGAAACTGAAATTGACTGCAGTTATTGTTATTGAAGTGTTAATTGTACTACAGTTTTAAAAACATTTTCTGGAAAACATCAAGCATATAATTGGGAATGGAGAATGAAGATGTATAGGATAGGGTGGTCCGTATGCAGAGTAATTGATGGGCTTTCAGATGTCCAACAACAGCTAAGCCTCAGTTCCAAATTAGTTGGGGTCGGCTATGTAAATCCTCATTTTGTCGTTTCAAATGCCTCTACTGGCTTTTTATTTGATACGTGTGAGAAGTATTAAACTTATATAGGTTATCAAAATATGTGGGAGATGTAGTAAACTCATAGATTGTTTCTTCTAATCAACAAGCATTCACTTAGAAGACTGCTACCATTTTTGAAATATAGCATTCTGGAACCAGTGTCCATTGGATCAACACATGTATTGAATTTTTGAGTAGAGATTAGTTTTGGCCTGAAAGAAGAAGAGAGATGAGTCCATTCGGACTTCCAAAAAATTTCAGAAAGCACGAGTCCTTATTTTTAACTGTCTGGGCAAATGTGATTGGTGAAACTACTGGTTCTTTCTTCTGATGACTGTCTAAAATGTTCTGTACTTTTTATAGTTGACTGGAGGGAAAATTGGTGACCGGCTGCTAGCTGAATCAGAAACCAATCTTGCCATAAATGTTCTCCCCAGTACGACCGAATCATTTGAAGTGCAGGGTAGAGGTGAACTTCAATTAGGTGAGTTGTGTGGTGTAACAACCTCTAACAATGTTGTCAGTATTTGTGCTCGTCTCATATGTGCATAAGGGACAAAATTAAACCGGATCAAGCAGTCCACTGAATTCTCTCTCTAGAATTTTACATACCACCTAACTCTTTCTTTCTGTTTTTTCTTGTTCATCATAGGTATCTTAATTGAGAACATGAGACGTGAAGGATTTGAGCTCTCTGTCTCCCCACCTAAAGTCATGTGAGCTTCTTTGTCCTTATTCTAGACTGGTTTGCTAGGAATCACATCTTGATATGCCTGCATACTCTTACTCTGTACTGTTAACTTGTGAATTGGTAAATGCTGTTATGATTATATAATAATTCAGGAGATACAAAGCATATAGCAAAAAGGACCAGAGAATTATTTCCTATCATGGAATGGTCTTTTGATTAAAACTTACCAGAACTAGACATACACGTCTAGTCACATATTCCAGTATATGCACATATTTACATATCTATGGTTGCCAAGATTAAGACAGTATTTTTTTGGTGTCTTGAATGGCCTAATGATATCTGTGCCATTGGTATCTATTATTCACTAGTAACCTTGATGATAAACTGCTAATATTGCATTTGCAATGTCTGTATGTTTAGGTACAAAGTAGAGAAAGGTACTAAGCTTGAGCCAATTGAAGAAGTGACTATTGAGGTGCACAAGTCTGCATAAACCTACAGTATTGTCTTTTACTTATTCAGAATTTATACCAAACCTCTTGGGACCATCTTCTGTTTCCAGGTTGATGACGAGCACGTAGGTTTGGTCATGGAAGCACTTTCTCACAGGCGGGGTGAAGTTACTGACATGGGCCCTGTTCCTGGCAGCATGGGAAGGACTAGAATGTGTCTGACATGTCCTTCAAGGTATTTTTTTCAGTTGTTCTTTGCAGGTTTTATTACTGTCTAGAGCATGATGATACGTAATTAGAAGATTGGTTTTACCTCCCTCTCACTCTTTATCTCTGCCTTTCGGAATAGTATTCTGTTCATCCCTCCTTGCATTTCCTGGATACATTATGATACTGATTAATCTTTTAATATATACCGGAAGGTTAGTTATCTGAGCATTTTTTGAGTAAGGTAAAGTACTAAATAGCTACATTTATGAGTCTTATCTGGGCATATTATTTGTTCTCTATCCTCCTTTTATCTTGTCTTTGTTTTTCAAGGTATACCTATCGACCCAGAAGTATGGGATTACAATTTGACTAGATTATTCTTTGGTTAACAGAATGACAAAGCTAATTGCCAATTTGTTGAAATGATTAATCAATGCATTTTCTTCAAAGATCGTATTAGAGGCAACTAACAAATCTGTAGATTTCAGATTCATGCTACCTTTATGTATTCACATTTCACACCTCGTTTGTATTCAGCATGTTCTCAATCTTTGATGATTAATTTCATTGTTTAGTTTGTGTCCTAATTTTAATTTCCCCTGACCTATTGCAGAGGGCTAGTGGGCTATAGAAGTGTGTTCAGCAGTGACACCCGTGGCTCTGGATTTATGCATCGGGCTTTTCTGAGTATGCTTTTCAACTTATCTTACTACTTTTCTGACAAGTTTATCTGACAATTTCTCCAATTTCGTGCTGTGCACGTCACAGTAGGATCTCCATGCCTATTTATATAATGATAGCAAAACTGCAAAAGAAAAAGGTAAGTATGTGCTAGCAATATGTGGATGTGAGCGTGTCAGCTCAGTTGAACTTTGTAACAACACATTCTTGTCTGGTATTAGATGGTCCAGAAATCATATGGGTGTTACAAATGTACCCCTCTTTATATCCCTGTTCTTTCTTTGAATCCACCTTGGGTAAACCATCCCCCTTTTTCTTTCTTAAAATTATCCTCTGTGCTTTTGGTCGGCTGAGGTTCTTCATGAGCCAGTTTTATCTTTGACAGGGAATTTGCATTCTTGGTCCCTCAAATGTTGACATTCTGGTTTTGGTCCTTGTGATATATGACTAAGCATATTTAACATTCAATTAATATGTGTCCTTCCGGTCCTTCTATATAGGGAATATGTTACATTTACACTATTTTAGAACTATATTACCCTCATAAATAAATGGATATTAAATTATGTAACAGTTAATATAGCTCTTAGTCCCTCAAATATCAACATATTCTGATTTTGGTCCTTGTGATAACCACATTTAACCTTCAACTAATTGAAATATGCATTTTGGAACCCTCTCCTTGTGGAGTCACCACATTCAAATTGTTAATTGTTACATAATTTAATATCCATGTATTAGGAGGGTAATATAGTTCTAAAAATAGTGTAAATGTACCATATTCCCTATATGGAAGGACATCTATTCTTTGAATGTTAAATATGCTTTTAGTCATACATCACAAGGACCAAAATTAGAGTTTACTAATAACTGAGAGGGGGAATTTGATATCATCATGTATATGGTGGTCTGTGTGGAGAGGAAGGACTGGAAAATGTTTTGAAGATAGATCCAATTCCATTCACAAAGTAAAATGGAATTGTTTAGTATCTTTATTTTTTTGGTGTGAACAATTATGTATAGTGGATGTAGATCAAATTATAGAGTTGATAGGAAATTTTAATTTTTGTGATGAATTTTGAAGGTAGCCAGCATGTCCTAATACTGAAGAATACAAAATTACCAATTCTCAAAAAAACAAACAAACTGTTACTACCCCTGATTTTAATCGACAGTCAAGAGTAAAGAAAAGCTTGACTTGTCATGCTGATTTCTGAATAGGCACTTCAAAATAAGTTATTTCCCATTTTGACTTTTAAGTATTGATGCAAGGGTTATCTGTGCATAAACACAATCAATTCACGAATACCTATATAGAGAACAAATTTTCATTCATCTAATGCATGTTTTTCTGTATATTTTAATTACATCTAATGCATGTTTGAATGTTCAGCCAAACATATTTCATTCATCTAATGCACTAGTTCTTTTGGAGTTATTCTTTAGCCTTTTTTCTGTATATTTTAATTACATCTAATGCATGTTTGAATGGCTGCTATATGGTTTTAACTTTTCATTATTCTTAGCTTCTTTCTCCTTGGTGCAGCTTATGAAAAATATCGTGGTCCTCTTGGAAATGTCAGGAAAGGAGTTCTAGTAAGCATCCTTACTACCCTGTGAAGACACGTTTGAGATTTCTTTCTTTATTCCTCTTGCCATCTTCAAGATGCTATTGTTTCATAATTGTGAAGTACAAATAGCGTGTGTCCCTCAGTTCTGCCAGGGATGTCTGTCATCTCCTATTCTACTCATCTTAAAGTATGTTCAGCCAATTTCTACTTTAAATATTGTCACCGTTGCATAAATATGTGTCCCCAACAATTCAGTACTTTCTGTCTGTTGGCTTGTTACAACTTGTGACTTTCATGGTTCATAGTACCATTTCTCATTTTCATGCCTTACAATGTATAGCTGGTGTACCGGAGCTTGTATTCCAGTACTCTCCAGAATGGTGTTCTTGAGATCCTTTTACATTCCTACCATGTTTAAGAGACTAGGAGCCTGTTTGGATTGGCAGCTTAAAAGTTGGTCAAACCTACTTTCAAGTCATTTTTAACTTTTGTAAGTGTTTGACAAGGTTAAAAATAACTTAAAATAAGTTTAAATGACTTAAAAAAAGTTAAAAACCAAAACTAGGTCTCCCCTGGTTTTTATTTTGACTTGAAAGTCATTTAAGTTTGACTTTTTGTTTTTTGACTTAAAAGCTACTTTTTTTTAAGCTAATCCAAACAGGATCTAGGTCTGAATAAATCTATCTAACATTTTTCTCTCAAAACATCTTTAATTGATCCCAAAATTCCCTTGAATTTTATGTTCTCTTCCCAATTGTCTAGTATATTTGTTATGAGTACATCAAATGCTGCTTCCCATTAGCCTTTTGAGGCAGTTTAGCTCAGATTTGAACATATGTCTGGAAAATCCTCATATCACCCTTGTATTTGATATAATATCTTCTGTTTTTCAACAAAGGATATATATATCTCCTGTTTCAATATGTGGATAACTGTACCTCATTCTATTGGTTGAACAGGTATCAATGGGCCGTGGGTTAATCACTGCTCATGCACTGATGGGTTTAGAAGCTCGCGGAGTTCTCTTTGTGGCACCTGCAATGGAGGTGGTTCAACTGAACTTTTTGTCCTAATTTCTTTCCTTAGAAGTAGTAAAAAGAGTATCAACCTTTGTCAACTACCAAACATTTTTGTGATCTCAAATATGCATGACCTGGTACTGATAGCTTTGATGTTGATGCCATTCCAGTTGTGATCACTTAAAAGGGGTGATTAGGAGATATTTTATTTGTGGAATGTATAACATATTACAGGACCAGAGTCCTTGCAATATGAGGGCTTATAAAATTCTAAGTATTGAAGTAAGGTAGAAAACAAAATGTGTATACTATCAGGGATCTTGACAGCGTTGTCGATCACATGCTCTTTTGAAGAATATAAAAATATTTTTATCTTACTTTGTCTTGGGTAATATGCAGACATATGATGGCATGATTATTGGAGAACATTCTCGAGATACAGATCTTGATGTAAGGAGCTGTTATTTCATTTCTTACAGTGTGTTTGTCATGTGCATTTGTGACTCTTGGGTGATTGCATGAAACAGGTCAACCCGGTTAAGTCAAAAGAACTCAACAATATAAGGTGCGCTAGCAAGGATGAGAATGTCAAGTTAACTCCTCCCCGCCTTGTGAGTTTCTACTTTGCTTGTACTTTATCCACTTACAAAACTAAAAAACCTTGTACTTTATCATATTTCCTAAGGTGAAGCATTCATAGAAGTTTGAGAAATTTAGAACTTCACTAGATTGTCCATCTTCAAAAATCTCTTAGCTAAAAGATTTTGTAGTGTTTAAGCTCTGCTCCTTCCGGTTATTGATAGTCTGACATTCGATGGTTTTGTTTCAGATGTCTCTCGAAGAAGCCATAGGATATGTTGCTTCCGATGAGCTTATTGAGGTATCTTTATTATTTGGATAATGACTTTGCATTACAGATGACACTTTCTATAATACTTCTTTCGAATAATTGGTTGTTTCTCTACATTAGTGTAAATTGGTGATTAGAATGGAAAATAAAACTAATTTGGTATTATTTTTCGTTAAACCAAGGAAATAAACCTATGCTATTAAAAATGTGCAGGTTACACCAAAAGCCATTAGGCTAAGAAAGAGATACTTGGAAGTGAACAAGAGAAAATCAATGAGCAAGAGGCCCAAGGATTGAAGTATTTTTCCTCTATACTGGTCAAAGATTTAGCCTCACATTTTGTATACATGAAATTTAATTATCTTCATCTCTACTTTAATGTTCCTCCTTTATACACATCTTTACAATTATATAGATAGGGAAAAAAATTGTATCACATAAATATTCTTTTTCAAGCACTCTATCGGGAATGTATTTCAGTGTAACAGCTTATTAAAAGCAGAGTTACCGAAAATAAAATGCTTGAATGCAATAAAATTTTGTCCAACTTTGACCCCTCCCCTTTCTCATTGTTCATCCAATTCACGTGAACTAATTATACTGAGTATGTTATTGTTAATTGTATTACTTAGTACTATACGTTCATATTTTGGTTTAATCTATTTCTAGATTTTTACTTGTATGCACGTCCCCTTTCTAGTACCAATGTTTTACAACTCATAGCAAGCTGCCAAAGACAAGTACCCGTGACCATTGATTAGTTATGTTGCTTTTTTATTTGTCGTTATTATGTTCCTAGCACACATTTGAGTATTCCTGTTTCACACTAATAGAAAAATTTAAATTAACGTGGTACTCGGTGCTCCTAGTTGGATTCAAAAACTTTGTTTTCACCTACCCATTTACCACTTGAGTGCAAAAAAACCTCTGATTTTTTCACCAAATCTAAAGAGATTCAACATTTACTATACGGTACTTCGACTCTGCCCTTAGTGGGGTGGAGGGTAGAGTAGTGGGTTGGGGGATTGGGAATTAAAATGAGGCGTGTTGAGGATGAAAATACTATCATCGTAAAATGTCATTTGTAAAATTTATTTTTTCTATTTTTAGTAGGAATATTCTGTTCCTCATTTTTTAGGAACTTATTGTTTAGAGAAAAAAAAAACTTCTTAAATTTTAACTAACCAGATATTAAAATAAGTGGGATGCATTTTTTCCCTACCAAAACACCTATGTATTACTCCATATAATAATAAAATGCAATAATGCCCAACTTAAGGTACTGTTTCAGTTTATTACTTATATAATTTAAATAAATTAGTGGGCAGTTGCCGTCGATGTCAGACAATCAGAACATATCCGTGTCAAAATAAATATTGATCCACATTCTATTAGTGTAACCATTTTTTTTATTTAGTTGTATCTAAATCTACCAAGTTTACAAGTTTCTATAATAATTTAAAATTATTACATATATAGTTATAACTGTGCTTACATTTAAATATTCTAATAATAATATTTTATTCCTAGAAAATAGTAAATACTATGAAAACTCAAATTGTGCCTATTTTGAACTTGTAGAAAACAGGAAAGTCAGAGACTTAAGGAGGGGTTTAAGAAAATATTTTTGAATAAATCTCCCTCTCTCTCTCTCTTTTTTTAAAATTAAAAAGCAAGCGGTGCCTCTTTCAGATCTCTGTTTTTCTTCTATCGTACTCCGTGCCTCCAAAAAAAAATCCTTTCTGAAAAAATGGGGGCATACAGAGCCGACGACGATTATGATTACTTGTTCAAGGTGGTGTTGATCGGTGATTCCGGTGTAGGAAAATCTAATCTTCTCTCTAGATTCAGTCGTAATGAGTTCAGCCTTGAGTCTAAGTCCACCATCGGTGTTGAGTTCGCTACTCGAAGCATTCATGTTGAGGATAAGGTTGTTAAAGCTCAGATTTGGGATACCGCTGGTCAGGAACGGTATATCATACTCTTTTCCCTGCTCATTACGATATATATGTTTATCACTACTTGGAAAATTGAAAGTTGAGATCTACTGTGCTGCTTTGTACTTGTGGATGATTATCATTTTCTGATAAGTTAGATCAGAGAGCTAAGTGTAAGATCGTTAGTATAGGAGGGATTGGAGTCCATTTGAAGTATTGACGGATGTAGATCCAGTAGTTTAGTTAGTTTCTCTGTGATAATTCGTGCTAACTTGGTACAAATTTATGTGTTTTTTTTTTTTGAATTTTTTTTTGCTACATATATACAAAGATGAGTCAAAGGCAAATGCATATGAACATACTGTCTATTCCATACTTGTGGCTGCCGTGGTTGATTTTGCCTTTGGTAGCTACATTCAGTACTTAGGCTGAGATGCTTTTTGTGAGCTGAATCGTAATTAGTGGAGGGGTAAACTGATCTTTAAGTGCTCCTGATTTTAGACAAGCTCAACAACTTGTCCAACTCATATCTTTACTAGTTTAAAAGGGACCCGAACTAATTATGATCTGTAAACATCTTGCACTGGTGATAGAGCACCTCAACCACCAGCTGGTAGGTCAAAGCCATGTAGATGAGGGTAAGTACTAAGGGGTCGTTTGGTGTGAGGGATATGACTAAATAGTCATGGGATAAAAAAATAGTGCTGGGATAATATTTTGTTTTCTTGTTTGGTTGTCATGTTTGGGATAACTTATCCCATCATTTATACCATAGTGATGAGATAAGTTATCCCATATACATGGTGGGATGACTAATCTCAGGATAATTAATTCCGGGATAACCTGTTCCCAACCAAACGACCCCTTAGGAATACATTTGATCTTCTCAGGGTGTGGTATCATCAGATTTCTGATATAGGAATTTTTAATTGAAATGGTGTGTGTTGAGTGACAAATCCAATAAATGGGTCTGTCAGAATTTTCAAGACCAAAATGGTGAGAACACATTGGCTGTGGAGCATCTTTGACATCCAAAAACAGACGTTCGTGAAGTGTGTTTACACGGAAGGTGCCCTATGAACGATGAGTCTTCAGTTTATGTCCAAAATATGTGTAAGGGTCATCCATTGTAACACATCTTCAATGAATATTTTAAAATCCCAAGAATATGAAAAATGTGCTTTCTCTGCGCTAATTTGACCTGAGATAGTAGGCTTTTACAGACTTGAAGGGTCATGGACAGCGTGACACTTTCAAGGAAATTACAAGGTGTCTTATGCTTATAGAGCAGTAACAACAACAACATACTCCCACAAATTGGGGGTCTGGGGAGGGTAGCCTTTTCCATAAATATTAAAAACTCCATTTCTTTCCTATTTTCATCAGATCTAAGATCCCCCTTTCATTTCCACCATTGTAATAAATTTATTCCTGATATAGCTGATCACAAAATAAAAATAATAGGCGAGGTGATTCTATGTCGTGGCCTAGCCTACTTACACTATGTTTGGATCATTGTTACCCATTGTATTGTATTGTATCGTTACTATACCTACAATGTTTGTTTTGATTGTTACTTAAAATGTATTGTATTGTATTGTTAAATTTCGTTGTTACGTAACAATTAAAAGCCCTATTTTATGGAACAACCGATTTGGTGTATTTCCATTGTTACTTAATTTCTTTTTCCAATTATATCTTTACATAGTATTTCAAAATATTATTTTACCCTTTACCTTATATTATTTAATTCTAGTCACACTTCCTATCCTAGAATAATTAAGGATATTTTAGTAAATTTATAAATTACAATACAGTACAATACAATCAAACCAAACAATTAAAATGTTATTAAACAACAATAAACAATACAGTCTAGCCAAACATTGTATCTACCATACAGTACAGTACAATAGAGTACAATACAATACAATACATTATGAAACAATGGGTAACAATGATCCAAACAGAGTGTTAGACACAAGCACATGGTGGGTCTGCAGGAATGAGCCACCGGATAAATACACTTCGCCTCGTTCACCCTCCCCTCCTCCATCTTTAGAAGGGCCTAAATGGAGAATCCTCCGACACCAAAAAGCTGGAGTTTTATTAAATAATTTTTTTAACGTATTAGATGAATGATCTTCATAGTATATGATCTTTTTTTTTCTTATCTAGGATTCTCAAAGTATAGGATAATTTTGTACGTATTTATATTTTAGTAATTAATTAAGTTATTGTCTTTCTATATATTTGTTGGTGTTTTTATTTTTTTCATTAATAATGATGATCAATACACTTGAAATTCGGGGAACTTGAGGCATGTTTGTCTGAATTGCAAGTCTTAGACTTTGAATATTTCAGATAAATGCGACTCGATGGTTCTTTTTTTTTTAAAGCCAGTGAAGTGAACTTACAATTTTTTTTGGGCAGTAAAAGATGCTTTTTATGAGTATGATGTAGCTAATACACGAGTAACCCAAAGTATATTAGGGATGCTCTAATTTTTGGTACCTATAATTTGTATTTGACATGTCGTATGCTGGTGAGATACTGCTTCCCCAGCCATCTGTTTTGTTTCTACTCTCTTTTTGCCCATGAATTCTACATTTTAAACTTTTAAGGTGTCGTTAATTATTTTATCTCATCTTCCATATGGCATAACTTATCCCACAAAATGGTTGGACTAAACAATACACACTATCAAACATAGGATAAAATATCCCGGGATTATTATCCTTGTCCCACCAAACGACATCTAAGTTGATATGAGATGTAAAGTAAATTCATTTCAAAAACTAGAAGTTGCACTTTGTTGGCTTATATCTGAACTTCTTTGTGTCCAGTAGACCCATATATTGTGTAGTAATCTTCTTTACATGGGACAGTTCTAATATTTTAGTTTCCTCTATGGAAATGTTATGAGTTCATGTATCATAATCTTAACTGATGTGCTCTTTCTTGAAGATATCGAGCAATCACAAGTGCTTACTATCGAGGAGCTGTTGGTGCATTGCTGGTTTATGATGTCACTCGTCATGTGACTTTCGAGAATGTTGAGAGATGGTTGAAGGAGCTCAGAGATCATACTGACTCGAACATTGTCATAATGCTTGTGGGAAATAAGGCCGATTTGCGTCACTTGCGGGCTGTTTCCACTGAGGATGCCAAGGCATTTGCTGAGAAGGAGAGTACTTTTTTCATGGAAACATCTGCTCTGGAATCCATGAATGTGGAAAACGCCTTCACAGAAGTGCTCACACAAATATACCGTGTCGTGAGCAAGAAAGCTCTTGAAGCAGGAGATGACCCAGCAGCATTACCCAAGGGACAGACCATTAATGTCGGAAGCAAGGATGACGTTTCAGCAGTAAAGAAAGTTGGGTGCTGTTCTTCTTAAAACAAGGACTGATCTGGATGTTGGAAGATGTTCTATTCCAACTTTTTGAGTTCAAATTTTCATGTGGCAGTGGTAATTCTCCTATTCTGTACAATGAATTGACCACATGAATCGTTAGCCGTGAGCACTCTAGTTTACAGATGCTCAAGTTTGAATTTGAGCTCTCCCTTGAGTTCCTCAGCATTCTTTATCCTTGTTTCTATATTTATCTTAGCTTAGTGTATGATTGTAGTATAGCTTCTTATGAATCTCTTGGATAGAGTGAATTTTGATTGCAAAGATTGAACTGAGACATGTTTGAACAGATGCTGTCCCACTAGATTTATCAAAATCAATCATATGTTATTTTTCATCTATCATTTCACATTTATCCGTAGTTATATATATTTGATTTCATAGACGAGCATAGTCTTAGGTGCAAAATGGATCCAAGAGCTAACATAATAAGAGGCCACAGGTGCTTCGATGGAGGTCAGACTAGAGAGTAAACTTTAGTAGCAATCATAATAGAGAACACTTGAATCAGATTCACCTATGCTGTTCAGATCATTCAAAAATACCACCAAGTGTGTCAAATCCTTCGAATGCTATGCATTTTTTTAGGATCTGATGAGCTTACCAACATTTTAGAGAGTCCGAGCAACATAGGCATTCATTCATAGTCCTCTTATATTAAGAGGTAAAACTCCATGAACATCTTGGGAGATTCCCGAGGAGAACGCACAATGAAGCACATTTAACAATTGGAGACACCTGAACTCTTAATAATAACTCTTATTACTGAAAGCCACACAAGTAAAATTGTCATCAATATTGCCTCAATGGCTAGGTGCAAAAATTCACCAAAATATGCAATTCTGTTACAATATGAAATGTTGCCTTTTATTCATAGACCAAAGGCTGCAAACAATGGATAATCGATTTTGGTTAGTAATATTCTAAAGGCTTTGACCTGTCAACCTTACATGTTCCGAACATCGTCCTTTTGTCGGAGTTGCTTTAAGTTTCTTTACTTCCAGAAGTCAAAATAGACATTGATTCGTTAAGTTGCTCAACTGTAGAGGGGTCTTACATTGTGTATGTTAGCACAACACTAGCAGAGGATCAACCAGCTTTTACTTTATCCTTAGTACTTTCTGCATGACTGATGCTAAAAATACTACTTATTCCTCGTGTTTTGGAATGTCGCTCCAGTTCATCAATTCTGTTCTTAAGGAACTCAAGCTCTCTACTCAGCTCATCGTCTCGCTGCTTCAATGCCTATGAAAGCAAGACAAATTATGATCGAGTTTTACATGGAAACAGAACATGGCGCTCTATGATTTCAGCACAAGAAAATCATTATTATGAATGTCGATATGCACCTCTAGTTCCTTCCTCCGAACTTCCTCCTTCCTAGCTTCAGATCTGGAATTTCTTTGCACCTCAAAGATAACGGCCGCTCCAGCAACCTGAATAAACAGATAACAAAAGCATATTGATGGCGTTCTGCCTTGGTGGAAAAAAAGAGAAGACTGAACAAAGTAATTCATGCAAATCTCCACACTATACATGACTAGATAATTGGTGTGTTATGCACTGAAAGAATAGATCAGGTTAAGAGGAGCATCTACAATATTCTGCTGTAGATTAATTAAATCAGCACTGCACTTTTCAATCCTGTATCCGGCTAGGCCAAGGCAATTAGTCTTCAAATAGCAAATGTGTAGCGAACAAAAAGGAGAAGGAATAACAAAGATGATGCCACAACAGCCCTTCATGATGCTAACTTCACTCAACTCAACATCTTGAGCAGTTGGAATTGAATGCATCAATTGCCATCTAGGATTTCTTTTAGAGCAATAGTAAATCTGTATTTGTAGTTAAATAAAGATGTATCTCCTTACTTTTAAGTGCAACATGGCTTCAATTAGTGATGCAGAGCTGTGCTTGATCTTTTTAGCATGTTACAAAATATATAATTGTTGCTAGTTGCACATACTACTCAGCATCTTCTTAATGCTGGCAATCTACAATACTATCTTTTACTGATTAAAATAGAATGCGTAGATTTTTGTATTCGTACTTGGGGGCCATTTGATAACCCAACTAGACAAGTTTGATAACAGAAACATAAAATCATCCAATACCACATCAAATGCTTTCAAACTTGAACATTGTAAAGGTTTCTAATCATTAGATATCACTTCCTTCATCCCAATTTCTTTGTTTAGTTTTCATTGGCACAACTATTAAGATAAAATCGAAATATGAACAACTTAATATCTGTTAAGAAACAAGTGAGGTCATCCTATTAATTTGTGCAGCAAAATGGTGGATTAGATGAGTACCCCTGGTGTGGCCTAGAGGATAGTGAAGCTGGAATTGAAACCATAAGAGAACAAGGTTCAAATCCCAGTAGAAGCAAAAATATAGGTGATTTCTTCCTATCAGCCAAAACATCAGTGATCAGAGTTACTCTTTACATGTAGGGGTGAAAGATGTTGGTACTTGGCAAAATAATCAAGGTGCTTACAAACTAACCTGAACACACTCAAAATTTGGGGTTTCTCACATACACTGCCATGTAAACAATATTTGTTTAGCGTACCGACCCCTAATCAAATTGTTTAGTGATCAAATTGGCATATTACCAGATCACGCCTCTATTGCCACAACTATAGATTTAGTGATTCGAGAATAAACCTTAGTGGCCAATGTAATGATAGGCACATTTTGAACCGAGATCAGGTGTTCAATAGGTTGAACCCTTCGAAGAGGTATCTCAATTTTCTGGGAAAGTTTGAGGGGAGTCGATGTACTCAACCTAATTGAAACACATAACATTACCAAAACTTAATAATATCAGACACATTAAGTCAACATCTTTCACATTTTAGTGCACATACATAAAGAAGACAATTAGGCAGTACCACAAATTAATTCTATTTGAAGTACTTATCAATTAAGTGATTTATATTAATTTGTGAAACTTGAGCCGGGGGTCTATCAGAAGCAGCCAATCTACCCGACAAAAGTGGAGGTAAGGTCTGCGCACATCCAACTCTTCCCAGAAGCCCATTTCAGGGATTACATTGGGTATGTAGTTGGAGCAAAACTAATTTCAGACAGCCTTCAGTATTCAGATAGCACTTCTAGAAACTAGTGGATTGAACGAGAACAAGCCCCTATTCTGAAGCATAACATGCCATGCCTTCTCATTGCATCTAGAATATCAGACTAAGTTCAGGATAAATGACCTTCCTGCTATGGTCTGCTATGAACATATGAAATAGAATCATGAGCTCTATCACAAGTGGAATAGGACATAAAAAAGGTGTTCTCATTAATAAAAAAATCAGCATTTCGAAAAACATAACCATGATGATACATAATAATTATCCCAAATGAAAATAAATTTGATATGAAATATTTGTGTAACAGAACAAATAAAGGACCTAGAGACAACATTACCGAGAACACAAAGAGTTCACCTAGAAGATCAGCAGCAGCTTGAACGGCTTTATCTTCATTTAATGGGCGAATTGCCACATCAGTTGCATGACCATATATACGTCTTTGCAGTTTAGTTGACAATCTATGGTTTGCCTGCGGAAAAAAGAAGAAGAAAGAACTCAATTATGTTCATTGTCCATTAATTTCCAATTCTGATGATCTTCAGTTTCAATGCCCAAGAGAAAGAATCATCAACTGAGATCACACATTCAGAAAGATAATGCAACACTGAAACACACTAAAGTGCCATGGACATGACCAATATTGAGTGTGGTAACTAGTATATGGATGTCAATAAGCCGCGTCAATATAAAAGCATTGAAGCACACAGCAAACAAAAGTAGCTCAAATGAGGCAGTCACAATAATCGTTTTTTATTCCTTTCAGTATATAGTTCTGCCCACAAAGCAACTTTAAGTTCAACCTACAAGAATCAATTAGTCGTTGCCACTTATCTCATCATCTTCCAATTTCTAAGCCATAACTTACTTCAATGTGCTCAATTTCCCATAGAATCACAACTTCTCATTCACTACTTCAATAGTCTTCCCTAGTCAAACATGGTTTAAAAAACGTATTTATTTGCATCTTAGTTTCCATAATCAGCTAAATACACTTAGAATCCTTTGATCTTTGCGACTTTTTACCATCAAAATGTATATTTTTTTAAATATCCCACACCATTAGGTAATTCCATCAGGATAATCAACTATTCATCTACATATAATCTTTGTAGCTCAATCGATTAACTACCTGAACTATCACCTTGGTGGTGGTGAGGGTTCGATTACCCATTTTCTAATCTCTCCATTTCCTCTGACCCACCCACCCCCCAAAAAAAAAACTTCAAATTCAGGTACTGAGCTCAGCCAAGCACAAACTCAGAGGATCTCACTAATTTCTTAAAGGTTGTTTAACATTTCACATTTAATTTCATAAAAAACAATTCCAGCTCTTTATATACCACAAAAACCCCCATCTTTTATCATATCACCACAAATTACCACTAGCTAAAACTCATACAACAGATACGCAAACAAAAACCCACAAATAAAAAATGATTTTTAGGGCAAAACTGAACCTGGGCAATGCTGATGATGAAATTTCGGAACCTGGGGTGGTATCCAGCCTCTTTCTTGATTCGATTACCGATAGGTTTACAGAAAGATTTGAGGGCAAGTGTGCCAAGCTTAAACACAGGTAATATCATCAGATCTCACTTCCCAAAACAAACAGAGAAATTTTCAGAGAGTTAAAAAAAAGTATTGAAGAAAACACAAAAGGGTTTTGATCACTCTGAAGCTCTCAATCATGGAGAGTCTGTCTGAAAAGAAATAAAGTGTGTGATTGAGATAAAATATGTATTTAGAAACTTCTAAATTTCGAAATTCAAAATTTTAAATTTTTATACTACCTAAAATACTAATTAACAATTGAAAAAGTATATAAAGAAATTATGATTAAAAAAATGTGATTACGTTCGAAATTTTAATCATGCCATATAAATTGTCACGAATGGAATAAGGTTTATATATTTTATAGGGATAAGGGTCTGAAAAATATCTCAATTTTGATCGAATTTGTTGTTGCGATACTAAACTTTCATGAGGACCCTATTACTTCCCTAGACTATTTAATATCGTATTTTAAACATATATATTTGTCCATGTGGACATACAAAATAATGCAAAATTATAAATAGTAATGTGTCCACGTGAGCACATATATACCTTTAAAATACCCTATTAAATAGTTCAAGGGGTAAAAAATACGGTATTAAATAGTCTAGGGAGGTAATAGGTCCTCACGAAAGTTTAGTATCTAAACAGCAAATCCGACCAAAGTTGGGATATTTTTC